TTTCGGTAGCGATTTCGACGCACCCCGAATTTCGGTAGCGACCGGATCTTCGTTCGAGGGCGTTGAGATAGCGGGTTTCAGAACGCTCTGATACCGGTATTGGGCGCTACATTTCGGTATTTCGGTAGCGACCGATCTCTGCGGAGCGCTACCGGAAATTTTCGGTAGCGGACCATCAGGGCGAGGCGAGAACGCGCGTGCACGCGACCCGTTGCCATTTGGCAATGACGCCCTTCCCGGCACCGGGGATGTCAGCAACTCGTCCCCCCTCTTCCGGCCGACCGGCGGTCCTGTCTCGTGTTCTCTTCCTCTTTCCTCCTCGTTTTCCTCCCTCTCCTCCTTTTCCTGCTCTTCCTCCTCCTCCTCCTCCTCCTCGTCCTCCTCCTTCTCCTCCTCCTCCTCCTCCTCCTCCTCCTCCTCCGCCGACTTCGAGCTTCCGGGTGGTTCGTGCCCGCGGCAGAGTGCTTCGTGGGGTGTGATGATAGCCCCCAGGAGGGGCAGCGCAATTGGGCAGTGTGGCTGGCAACGAATGTTGTTGCGCAGACGTGCCGTATGGTGTGCAAACGCACGGTGGCGTAGACACGCGCTGTGGCAGACACAGTTGGTGCAGCAGCAGCTGTGGTGTACACAGGCGTGGTGGTGCACACAAGCATCGTGGTGTACACGGGCACTGTTGTGTACACAGGCCGGGTGGTGTACAGAGTCGCTGTGGTGTAATTACACCGGCTCTGAGGTGCACGCATATGATGCACATGGGCAGCGCTGTATACGCAGGCATTGCAGGCCCAAAACACAGGGGGGCAGATCCTGGGCCAGGCAAATCCAGAATCACACTCCACTTGGTACATATTGGATGTGCTGCTCTCGCCCCCCTTCCCCCCCTCCTCGGTTTTTTTAATAGAGTATGGCCCCGTCGAGATCCTGGAGGTGTGTACAGAGTTTTTGATTTCGTACTCGAGCATTGTGGCATCGTGGTGTACAGGCGCTGCGGTACACACACATATGGGAGGTTTTGTTGCCGTCAGAACGGTTTTGTTGTGGAGTGTTCCCGGATTGCCTGGCCTTTGCCGGGGGGCATTGTTATGGAGAGATCGTGTGCCGTCGAAAGATCCTGCGCGTCGAGACATTCTCGAAAACTTGAGTTGAGCCGGCCCGTTTCGCGTGAGACATCTTTCCAAGTCCGTATTCCGAAATGACCAGATCTGAGATGGTCTGGCCTGTTTCGTTTGAGGCATCCTCGCAACTCTGAGTGCCCAGATGTCGCGCGAGAGGTGGTCTTGCTCATTTCGCTTGTAACATCTTGGAAACTTTGGATTGGGAGATGCCGTGACTTCAGGTGGCCCCACCCGTTTGAGACACCCTCTCAATTTTGGGCTTGGATATGCCGCCCGCGAGGTGATCTGCGCTTAAGACATCTTCGCAACTTTGGGTACAAAGATGCCGCGTGCGAGGTGGCCTGGCCAGTTTCGCATGAGACGTTCTCGCAATTCCGAGCAACTGAAGAGGAGGAGGAGGAGGAGGAGGAGGAGGAGGAGGAATTGGGGGGGAGAATGAGGAGCGAAGGAGAATGAGGAGGAGGAGGAGGAAGAGGAGGAGGAGGAGGAAGGATAATGCACGCATTGTAGTCAGACAAGTACTTGTGTTGTCGATGCTTTCGGGACACTCCTCGTCGCCAGGGCTGGACGCGGCTCGATCGTGCCTTTGACACGGGCCGGTGCTCTGCCGACCAAGGGTGTTTCACAGGCTTGTTCGCGCCCAGATTGCGCGGATGTCTCGAACGGCCCGTTTGTTTTACTCGGCGGGCGCGTGTTTTCAGAGCTGCATAGTCTTAAGTCGGGCCTGTCCCCCTACAAGGGGATTTTCGACGAAAAATAAAGAATACCCACAAAATAATAAAAAGTGATCCAAAAATAGTCTGGGGACTATTTTTGTGGTATTTTTTAACCTTGTTGGGGCATTTCTGGGGTATTTTAATTTTGCGTCGAAAATCCCCCTGTAGGGGGACACGCCTGACATAAGCATAGTTCTCGCCGACCACTTTTTGTTTGCTTTGGGGTTTTTCTGGACCGCTCCAAGGCTTCCCTGGGCTGGCGGGAGGGCGGGGGCAGCGCACCTGAGCCCGGGTCCCTGGATCGCCAGAGGCAACCTTGGGCGACCCCGGCAACAGAAATAGCGGTGCCAGGAATGTGCCTGGGAGGGGTTGCCTTCAAAAGAGTTCGGTGCGCCCCATGGCCCACAGAGGCTCTGGCCCCCCTTTCATTTCAGACATCCTCAGAACCTTGTGCTCCGAGATTCCTTGACTTGAGATGCTCTGGCCCGTTTCGCCTGAGACCCCCTTATAACTCCAGTTTCCAAGATGTGGCTGTTGACGTGCTCAGGCCCGTGTCGGACCCCCTGGCTCCAAGATGTGCTGACTCGAGGTGCTCTGGCCCGTCTCGCCTGAGACACCCTCGCACTTTGGGTTCCAAGATGCGGTTCGCTATGTGCTCAGGTCCGTTTC